GCAAAACAATTAACAATTATTCGCCGAAGGCGAGGTGATTATCGGGGAATATTCGCCGAGACGAAGTCGGGGTCAATATTCCCGATAATCACCGAGCCTTCGGCAAATAATTGTTTTAGTACCTTTACACAAGTTTTTTTTGTGTTTTTTTTTCTGAATTCATTTTTATTTTCTCTTATTTCTTTATCACTAACTTCAACAAAACGGCTAGCCGCCATCTTGAAAATTTCGATTTTGTTATATTCACCTGTTATAACAGATTAATACGTCAAATTTGACCAATCACCTTCTAGGATTTGTTATGTTCACTTGTGCAAAAATACTAATAAACGATATCCTTCAAATACGCCCCAGATATTGTATGTCGTATACGTTATTTTGTTTTCTGCGCATAGCAAACGCACACGACCACAATACAATGCGCTAAATAAAATTTACTTCAAAACCCCCTCTGTGCACATATTAGAATGCTGCTTCGCTCGCTCGCTTTAGGCTCGCTCGGTACGCAGCAATAAAAAAAGGGAATCGCCTTGATTATATAGCTTCAAGTTGAGACGCGTCGGGAAATTGTCAATGTTGTTGGTGTGGTGAAGCATCGGAAAAAGTGATATGGAAATCGGGAAAAGTGCTACGAAAGCAATTGTGATCTCCGGAAAATGTTTTACCAAAAAAGGTGTCGAAGGGGGTGGGGGGCGGGGTGGTCGGAGAGATTTAAAATGTTGTGGCCCGGAAATTTTTTTTGGCCCCACCTGGGTTTTTGCTGCCCCCCCTGACCAAAAATCCTGGCTATGCCTCTGATGGATCTTCGTTGGAAATAGTATGGAAATCCAATTTTCATACTAATTGCAATTCCCAGTATGGAAGTATGGATATACTATGCCTATGGATTTAATGTAGTGATGCAATTGTAAATTCCATAGTATGGATTTCACTATTTTTTTCCAGTGCTTACTAGTTCTGTAGGCTGCTCCTACAGTGCACCTTCCTGCCGAATACATTTCATCCGCCGCTTGTTCGTTACGACAAGTGACAACGTAGATTCGAAATTCTCGTAGAAATTGTCGAATCACTGCACCTCCTCTCCTGAGAATTTATTTTTCTGGGCACCGTACCGTCATACAACACCGCGGAAAAACGTCTGCGCATGCACCAAATTATGAAAATATGGCGGGTAATTTGAATATCAATTTCTAAAACAAAAACATGCTTATTAATTGGTCAAAAATTAGTAAAACAAACGAGAAAATATAGCTAATGGGTAGACTAGACATTAATTGAAAGCGTCCTGGCATTTAAAGTATGGAATGAAATATAATTCATGTAAAAAATTGTTGATTTTAACGGACACGACTTCGAAAATTTTTGCAAAATTATTCAAAACAAAAATTCAAACTAAAAAGTTAAGAAAACTCTCGAAAAGTTAAGCTTCTTAACCCACTCAAATTGTAGAATAAATCCTATAGTTTAATTATTGTGAACACGAAAATGTTTTATATTTGGCGACATAGTTTTTTTTAAAGAAATGTATCTCAAACGAAAATTCGGAAATTGTCGTTGCTTAGTTGATAAACAAAATGTTTCAGACGATAAATTTGTCAACAATCACCTTTAGTTCATGTTCTTGTACAATACAATTTCTTGAACCTTCTGGCTGTATTTATTCCTAGTTTTTAGAATGACATGTTTATTTTCGCGCTCGAAATCTGGCTGTAAAGAAGAGCAATGAAGTCACTCCTTTTTACCGCCATTTTGAGCCTAATTCGGAAACGTTCGGAACAGCTTCTCATCAAGTTCGCAATACTATTACAGGTAAGGTTGACGCATGCGCAGACGTTTTTCCGCGGTGTTCCGTCATACTCGATCCCACACTGACACTGGTTTAATAGCAATAAAAAGAGTTGTTTAAGTATAGTAGTATAAAAGGTTATTACATGCATGTAAAATCAGTATCAAGAAACAAGAAAACTACAATATCAAGTCGTGTCAGGATTCGTGTTCTAACAGTAACAATGTGACTTGCGGCTGCGCATGTCCGCTAGGTACTCATAAGACAAAAAGTTGTTGACAAAAGGAAAACATGTACATGGCCATGTTCTTTCGAACAGCGAAAGAATTAATTTAATTTAGACATTCAAAAATGTTAATAATATTTACGGGTGATATTTTCCCTATTCAAAATTGATTTGGTTGTCAAATCTGTAGCTCACGAAAAACCCATTTTGAAAATTGTTAGGGCTATACAATTTCGACTAATTAGGATGTGGAAAATTCAATAGTCGCTCCACAACTTCTTCTGATAATGGATAACAGTTATATTCGCATAAGGCCCCTTTACTGAAACCCAGAGACAAACCCGCAGACAGTACTAGTGGAAGTGTAGAACTGATTGGATATCATGTAGAACTGATAGAGCCGCCTACACTGAAACAATCTAATACATAACTAACATAAGTTTAGTTTGATATCAGTACAATAAAAACATAGTTTACTCTAAAAATGAAAATTAAAGCCCAGCAAATGACTTTCACACAAGACATAACAAAATATAAAATTTATTGGCTAACGTTTCGTTGTATTGTTCACAACATCTTCAATTAAACTTATTTACAAGCGTGTATTATATATATTTATAATATAGTATTTGTAAATTCTGAACGCTGATTGGCTAAGAGCCGTGTTGATATAACTCCATGTCAACACGGGAAATTTTCCGCCGCTTGTAAACACGGAACTTTTTCTTATTCTTCGGGCTTTTGACATTGCTATATTATAAAACAAATATAAAACATTTCTTCCGTATTGATATATCGTTATATCAACACTCGTGGAAGTTGGGAAAACTCGAAATTGTGTGAAAACACTCCGCCCTTCGGGCGTCGTCCACACAATTTCTCGTTTTCCCAATTTCCACTCGTGTTGATATAACTGTATATCAACACGGAAAATGTTTTATATTTGTTAAATACAAATAGTTACAAACGGTTACAGTATTCAAATAAGCGAATAAGAGGAAGGATGAAAAACAACCTGTCATTAAAAGCAATAGTATTAGTAAATTAAAGAAATAATGGTTAGTAATTAGAGACCAAGCAAAGCATTAGAAAAGGTCAAGAGGAGTTGACCTATAATGTTAGCATTTAAAGTATAGGATTAAGCTTGGATATGAAAAGGCTTTCGCGAATGAGTATTGTATAAGTGTCAATGCTGTAGTGCTTTGTATGTTGGTCAAACTCGCCGACACATACACACGCGTATCTCTGAACACATGGGTGTTTCACCTTTGACTGGAAAGAAACGTTCTGTTTCAACCATGTCAGGCATACTCGCTCATATACATACCACTAAACATCAAATTTCAC